GTGTTTTGGGCTACTCCTTAGAAGTGAGTTTTGACTCTCAAGATATTCGCTTGGACTCTAAATTGATTGTAATCTCTCTTTTTAGAAACTAAGGAAGAGAAATGTTGAGGTACTCAAAGCACTCAGCTCAGTTTTCTTCCCTTTAAAAAAAATGGAAATAATTGACATGTAACATTGAGTAAATTTAAGGTTTACAACATATTAATTTGTTACATTTATATATTACGATTGCCATTGTAGTAATCCAACTTAGTTTTCTGATAGCAAATTTTTATTTCCTTGCTATAGAGGACTAATTTTATTTTATCAGCCTGAATCCTTTCATCTCTTAAGTCTGGAAGCAGTAATAGATTAAGTACTAAGGCTGGAAACAGTGTTAGTGAGTGTAGCAAAAATAATGTAACTGTTTAGTTACACATACACACACATTATTGAAAGTCTGTTGAACTTAAAATTTATTAAAGATGGGGAAAGTGTCCAAAATTCAGTTAGTATGTTACATTAGATAATTTTGCTTTGTTATGGTTAGCAGGCACAGCAAGTGAGTGATCTGGCTAACAATAACAGCAAAACCCAAAAACTGATAAAGAAGTTATGAAAAGACTTTAATTTGGTAGATATAATTTGTTCTTATTATCTCTCTCCTATAATCCTAATTTGGTTTTTTTAAGTAGAGATTTAAAAAAAATTATCCACTATGATTTCAGATGTTGGGTAAAAAAAGCATCAGGTATAAATGAGGGATGTCAGCCTGAGCTAATAAGATTGTTAATTTTGTTAATACCCTCAAGGTTTGAAAGATGAAATCATTGGAATTAGAAGAAGTAGTGGTGCTATAACTCAGGGTTTGGAGGAATAAAGTGGGAAATGTACCATTACTTTGATCCTCATTACTTTGTGCTTACCCCAAGAATATTTTGGGAGATGAGTTGGTGTCCAGGAACACTTAATGTCCAAGTGGAAGAGTGCCAGGTTAAGAATGTGTGTATGTTCTAGAATAGGCAGCTTTGTGCAATGGAAAAAGCACTGTGGAGTTGAGACAGGCTTCCATCCACTGCAGCCCCTGACTGAATTGTCTGACCTTGAGTGTCACTGTATTTCTTTAAATCTCAAGTTCACAACTATAAAATTGGGATAATTACCTATTTCACAGGGCTCGTTATGAAGATCAAATGAGAAAGCCCAACCACAGTGCTTGACACATACTATGTACTATTTTTTTTTCTTCCTATATTCCTAGAACCTTTGGAATTGATACTGTTTAATACCACTTTTCTCTCTCTTTTGTAGACTAGGATTCTTCACTGAGATGTTTTCAGGGATTTATAAATCCCTTTGGAAAGCATGTGAAAATTGTTTTTGGTATTTTGCATATGAGCTGTTTTCTTGTGAGTCAGTGAGTTCAAAGCTTTCACTAGATTCTCAAAGTTAAGTCCACACCCTTCTCCCATTCTACCTACCATGTAACAGAATTAAGAACCACTGCTCCAGAGTAAGTATTGTTAACTACAAGTGGTTTTAGGAGTCTGGACAAATTTCAGGCTTTTGATCGTTGGCTGCTATCTTGATGTTAAAATCTTTTCAGCTCTATTTTCAATATAATTGTATTTGCTTTTAAAACAAGATGTTTGCTACTTAAGAAAATATAAAATATTTAAAACTTCAAGATGTATATAAAATGAGATAGATATTACATAAGAAATTTTTCCATAGAATGGGACTTAGAATTTTCATTATAAGGGGGAAAAAAACTTTAGTGGGGACCCTTCGATATGTGCTTTATGAATGCATCAGGTGTTTGAGTTAAAATGATTTGGTTTATGAGGAAACTTTGAGGACCACATCTCTTGCATATATTAAATTATACTTGCATTAATTAACCCAGGTATATTGTAGATATGTTTATCTACAGTAGCAGTACAATTGAACGTGTGTTTGAACTGGGTAGGTCTACTTAAATGGGGATTTTTTTTTCAATTAATACATACAGTAATGTAAATGCATTTTCCTTATCTTAACATTTTCTTTTCTCTAGCTTACTTTACTATAACAATACAATATATAATACATATAACATAAAAATAGGTGTTAATCAACTTACTGGTAAGGCTTCTTCTGGTCAGCAGTAGGTTATTTATTATTAGTTAAGTTTTTGGGGAGTCAGAAGTTATATACAGGTTTTCAACTGTGTGTGGAACTGCGCCCTTAACCCCTACAATACTCAAGGGTCAACTGTATTTGCATATCTGCTCTGGGCAGAACTATGGCTCTGCTATTTCTGCTTCTTCCACTGGAGAAGAAGTGTTAGTTTAGATCTCAGTTGGGGAGATACCATAGCATAGATCTTATAAGTTGTGTTTGGGGCCAGACTACAAGGCTGTCAGATCCTACTCTATCACTTACTGTGTGACTTCGGTACTGTGTGAAGATACTTACCCTTCCTGTGTCTGTTTCCACATCTATAATATTTGGATAATATATCTAATTCACAGTGTGTTATGAGAATTAAATGAGTTAATATTGAAAAACTCTTAGAACACTGCTCATTTCATTGTAATCACTATGAAAGTGTTAATAAAAATATGTAATCTGATTAAAAAGACGTGTCTATGAAAAGAAAACTTAAAAAGCAGTATATACTGTATATTATAAGAATAGGGTTCCTAAAATTCTTCAAGATAGGGAAACTGGGTTTTATGGGTGATTTGAGAAAGCTTAAAAATTCAGAGAAGGTGTATAGCTCATGAACTGACCTTGGATAGAAGCGATTCGGATAGAGAATAAAGAATAGGCCCAAATTAGAGGGGAATTTTCTGAACAAACAGAATTGGGGTTTGGTAGGTTGTTTGGGAATACAGAATGACGAGGGAGAATATTCAATGACGATATTTCTAAGGTTCTAAACTTCAGTGATTTGGAGAATGTGCTCAAAATACTAAAGTTGGAATGGAAAGCCAATTTTGGAGAGATCAGTCTAATTTTAAATGTGTTTGACAGAGAGGCACTTAAGTTGACCTATAAAATATTTGAATAGGTTTAGGATTTTGAGTTTCTTTAAATAGCATTTATATCGAAACCATGAAAATGGATGAGTTCAAATAAATTACACAACTAATAAGTGGCAAAGCTAGGATTCAAATACAAAGCTCTGCTTCAAAGTTCATATTCTTAGCCCCGGTACTGTATGTACTGAATGGGAGATGTCCTTTATTCACATTTATTGTTATAACATGTATTTGTTTTTCTCATTTTCCAAGTAATTTCTTTTATTATTTTGCCATTTAATTTCTTTTATACCCTTCCCATATAATTCTTACTTGTTTCATTTTAATAAAATACATTTAGTATAGCTTGGGACTTGAAGGCAGATATTCTTGGATTTGATCTCATCTCTGCCATTTATATATCTATCTCTGGATTCCTTAGAAACCACTAAATCTAGTGGCGTTTTTTTAGTTCTAATTTTCCTTTGTGTGCATACAGCAGGAAGTCCTTCCCAAAATCTAGGTTCCCTATCCTTCAATAATGATTCACCATTCTAGCTTTTTGTCAGTTCTAGCTTTCTTCTCTGTACTTTTCTTTTGTATAGCTACACCTAAATCTGACTGTCTCTTTGAACTTGGCTCTTTATTTCTTTTTTAAACGTGTCAGCTGACTCTGGATTCTTATTATATTTACTTTTCAGTTACTCTTCATTCTTTTGTCTATCTTCATAGACTCAGTTCAGGCCCTTTTTTTCTCTCCAACTTTGTAATAGCCTTTAGGCTCCCAGGTCTAGTCCTGTCCTTTCCAGTCCAACCTCCCCTCCCATCCCAAAGTCATTCTCTTAAAGTGTAGATTTTATACTTCCCACTGCTAAATAATTCTTTAGTGATTCTCTATTATCTCCTAACACTTATTCCTTAGGATGAACTAGGTTTTTCTCTAGAGTAAAAGGTCAAATGAGTTTGGGGGATGCTTGTATAAATGGAATTAGCCTTCCTTTTGGCAGAATCTTAATGTCGCAATATGTATTGTGAATGTACAAAGGGGACACAGAGCAATATGCAGCATTTCCCAATTATACCTGACTGTAGTATACATTTAAGGAAAAAATACATGTCTACTGTCTTGGAATAGGTTATGTTAAGACCCACAAGGTAACTAATGCCCATACTTCTTTCTAGTCATGGAATTCTAGGACTTTTTTTTGGTTCATTCACTCTTTGCCTATGTTTGTAGTCTTGTCTCTGGCATTGACTATACAACTTGGAGTTTCCCATGGGGCGGAGAATTACGTGTTTCAGGCTTGAGTGGTTTCACTCATCTCTCAGAGAAAACCCCTACTATGAGTAATGGGAAGATTACCACCTTCTCTCTGAAGCTACCTTTGACTCATCCAGGCAGGCTTTACACTACCTTTTTTTTTTTTTTTAGCTCTCCTTATAGTATACTCAGCAAGACCATTCATTTTAACAGTTATCACATGATATTGTAATTCTTTTTACATTTTTATTTCTAAAATATACTATAGCTCTTTGAAGGCTGGAACCATTTATTTCTGTGACATTAGTACCTAAGAAAATTATTAAAAATAAATAATTGAATTATAAAATAATTACAGCAACATTTTAAATAATATTGGTATTTATACAGTTAAGTAAATGAATAAAAATTTATCTCATCTTAGAAATCTCTTAGACTTTCTATAATGAATAGGTAAGGTGGCATCAAATTATATTCTCTAAGAAATTTTTTATGGGGAAAACTAAGAAAATATTTAATTACTAATTTTTCTTTGTAATTTTCATAACATGTTCATAAAACTATTTTCTTAGAATATAAGTAATGTTCTGTCTTCGGTGAAAACAATGTTTAATCATTAATAAAAACTCAGTGATTACTTTTTCTCCCAGATAACTTGAGTTTCATATTCAGATGATTTATTCATTTATAGTTTTTAGGATAAGAAACATTATTTTATATGAAACATTGTTTAACGTATATATCTTTTTTCTTAGGCATCATTCTTAACAAAGAAGTTAAATATTGGTGGGAAAAGAGTAAACCTTGCTATATGGGTAAGTTAACTTTTTCAACTGTTTGAATGAAGCCTCTACGTTATTGGTACTCTAATAACTAATTGGCTCAAGGAATAGCTTTTTTTTTTTAAGTGAATGTTAGCCAAAACTTTTTTAAATAAACATTTCCCCCGCTAAAATCTGGCAAATAATTATATCTTGAATATAATCGTATACAAGAGTATTGCCACCATAACTTATCAGGTGGGTAAAGGTTAACTCGGAGGGATTCCATGTCAGAGAGAGGAAAGGACAGGGTGGATGGACAGCCTGCCTGGCTTTTTATTCCCTTGTGTTCCAACCTTCCAAGTGGCTACTGGAGAGTAAGGGAAGGGTAATACAGTAGGGTTCCTGTTGGCAGGTGGTTCTGATGCATGCTCTCTTTTCTTGTCTCCTCCCTCTGTGGGGAGCTTAAATTTAGGGCAAAGCCTATTTCTGGCTTATAATGCCATCTCGGCCATTCTGACCCTCAGGCAACTGTACTTTTTTTTAGTGGGGGTGGAAAGATTGCTCAGGAGGAAGAGGGTAGGGAGAGGAAATGTAACCTTTGTATAACAGTAAAACATTAATATTGGTTATAACTTGACTTAAAAAAAATTTTTTTGTAAGCTGCTTTGTTCTTTTTAATTTCTAATCAGTCAGAAGTTTACTGTAGTTGTAATAGCAGATGTATTTTTTTCTTCTGATCTAATAAGCATTTGTTTCTTTAGGATACAGCAGGTCAAGAGAGATTCCATGCATTGGGTCCAATTTACTACAGAGATTCAAATGGAGCTATTTTAGTTTATGATATAACGGATGAAGATTCTTTTCAGAAGGTATTCTATTTACTTATGGGTAGATAACGTAATAGAAGAACACTAATTTTTAAGTCTCCATAACATGCCTTTGTTTACCAATGTGATTAGTCTTGGTTTTATATATAAAGTATAATTTATGCATAAATGGTGACCACTCATTTTTTAATGGAGTATTTAATTCATGGATATCAGAGTTATTAATAGTTTATTGCATGGCTTTCTCAGATATTAGGAAAGGGAAATAATCTAAAATAAGGCTTCAGTAAAGTATAGGGATTTTTTTTCTCCCTGTTAAAGAAAAATCATATCCATTTCTTTGACTCCATTCACACTGGGCACATGAATCCTTGGTATGGCTGCACGGGCTCCCTAATTGAGAAGAGGAAAAGAACTAAATCAAATTTAAGCTCTTTCTCCTCATTTAATATTCTGGAGGATATATAAATTTTAAAAACATTTATTTTAAAGTTCCTCCATTTTTTTCATCCTTTTAAACATACACAAATGTAGGGCTTTTAAAGTTGGTTGGGACCAAAAAAGGGTTGTCATTAAACTTATCTCTGAATTCTCATCACAGTTGGGATAATAGAGACATTACTTATTTGACCTTTCCTCTGAAAGCCCCTGAAATTTGTCAAAAAACAGTAACTGAAAGGGATAATTTCCAAGGCAAAAAAACTTACCTTGCCTTGAGCTACAGTTTTGCTCTTGTTGAAATTGCTTGCCTTTTTAGTTTTTATTTTTCTTTTCATTTCCCAGTATTTAACTGATGAAGCAGATATACAAGTTAACTCTTGGATTATTAATGACGTTGAAAAACTTAGTTCAAAGAGTAGGGAAATGAAATAATAGGTAGCTTACAGATTTAATGATATTTTAAAAAGTTATTTGGGGGCTGCTATTTGGTGATATTTGTTATCCCGTTCTACCTTTGACATTAAAAAAATGGGTTAAGTCTTTTATCGAATAAGAGAAGGTCAAATCTTTTAGGTTGAAAGTGACCATTTATCTCTTTCTGCATAACAAAACCTCTAAAACATGGTGGTTTATAATGATTTATTATTTCTCATGATTTTGTGGGTCCTCTGCTCCATTTCGTGTCAGTGCAGTCTCTCATGCTGCATTGAACTCAGAGTTTGGCTGTACCAGGACCCCATTCAAGAGAGCCTGATTCTCCTCTATGGCCTCGTACTTCATCTGATATCTTATCCTCTGGTACTCTCTCCACATGCTCTCTCATTATCCATATTCCAGTCTAAGCTGCTTATGTGACAGCTGGCTTCCAAGAGTATAGTTGATAGGCCTTCATAAGACTTAGGTCTGGAGCTGGTATAGCATTACGTCTGCCATGTTCTCTTTGTCGAAGCAAGTTACAATGCTAGCCCAAATTCAGAGGGAGGGTAAATAGATTCTACCTCTTGATAGGAGGATTGGCAAAAAATTTGTGACCATCTAACTCATCACAGAATGTATGGGATAATGAATAGGATGCCTGCATAGGAAGATCTTACTGGAGGTGAATAAAAGAATTTTTTTTTTAATTACTTAGATTTAGTAGGTTGTGATACTGTATGTACAAGGAGTAATGCATAATTGGATTCTGGCATGTTTCTTTTGAACTGATGAGAATGTACATTTTATAACAGTACTATCAAATTTTTCTTATGTGAAATCAACTAGAGGTGGAAGTTAAATGCTTCTCTGAAAACTTTATACATATATGTGAATGAAACAAAAAGATAGGGCTATCTTTCAGTGCTACCACAAAGATAAGGTGATGATACTGATTACCTTTGCTTTTATAAAGATTTTGAGTTTACTAAAGATAGTTCCTCTGCATTCTTGCAGAGAATAGGAGTGTGGAACTATTAACATTTGTACCATAGGACTAGATGTGTGTGTATTTTTTTTAGGAAGGTGTATAAGTTCTGTGTAATTTGATCATGTAGAGGTCAAATTCCATTACAAAAAGTGAAAGAAGGTATCCAAGTTTGTTCTTTATCATATTTTATTGGAGTCAATATATTTAAAATTATGAGTTCAAAAGATTAATTTACTTAATTCCAATTTACTCCAACTGTGCCTACTGCTAGGCTTCATCCATAGTGAAGTATCATTTTGTTATTGGAGTCATTGTATACTAGTGGTTCTCCAGGATGAGATGGCAATGTCTGGAGACATCTTTGGTTGTCACAACTGGAGGTTGGTACTGGTATCTAGTGTGTAGGAGGTTAGGGATGCTAAACAGTATACATTGGACAGGACAGTCCCTCACAATAGAGAATTATCTGAGCCAAAGTATCAGTAGTGCCATGGTTGAAAAAAACCTGTTAGACACTAAAGGATGAAAATTTATTTCACCAGTCTTTCTGGTGCTCATATACATTGTTTTCCTTTAAATGTGTGCTGCAGAAGCTCCCATGCCCTATATTTCAGAACCAATTGGGTTAAGCTCATGCATTTTTAACTCCAAAATAACTATACAAATAATCTGTTTTCAGAGACTGGAGTTGACATGCTTTTGCCCTGGTGAATAGCTTTGCTTGAGTCTATGGATAATTTAGGAAAGTTTGTAATCAGAAGTGCTTCTGTCTATACCTATATGCAGATAGAGAAATATTTCCATTGGGTGTTTGTATGTGTGTGGTTTGTAGTTTAATCTGGCAATAAATAATCCTACATTTAATCATTCCTAGTAATTAAACATGTGGGTTGTTAGCCAAATTCTGAGGTATTTTGACAGTGTTGAATTTTGGGGTGTTGTAATGGTAGTCATTGTAACAGGATTTGTTTTAATGTTAACTTTTTTGTATACACAGGTAAAAAACTGGGTCAAAGAATTACGGAAAATGTTGGGAAATGAAATCTGTTTATGTATAGTTGGTAAGCATCATTACTTTTAAAAAATGTCCTTTGTTTCTTTAATGCTTTATTACAGAATAGTAAACCAGTAATTCTTATTTTAAGGTTATATGAGAAAAGAAGAATGGCATTTTAATACTTAATATTTTAGAATAATTTAGTATTTGAAGTCATCTTTTAGGGGATTCAAATCAAACTCTGTACTTCAAGGAGTGCCTTGGGTAGGAAGTTAGGAGCTAAACAGGTAAGGCTTTAAGTCCCCAGCCTTGCTTCAGCTTGACTTTTAGTTTTTCACTGTAAGATTTTGTTTAGGAAAAAGTTCAGGGACTACCGAAAAATAAAATTAAAACAAATGACTTAAGCTAGTGTTCCTGTTCTGTACATTTGACTGTACACATTTTCAAGTTAAGGACAAATGTATAAGGATATGAGTAGATCATGATACTAGAAAGGAGGAATATTCTTAATGGGTAAAATAAAAGTGCTCCAGAACTCTCTGAGTTCTGGAATTTCTCTTTGATTCCCCTTTTCTTTAGATTATTATTTTTTCATGTAATAACTAATTATTGAGCAATAAAGTATACCAGATGCTGTGCTATATACTCAGTAGGTGTTATCTCATGTGATCCTCATAACCCTTTGAGGGCTTTATAGAGGAAACTGAGCCTTGGAGATGATTAATAACTTGACCAATATCAGGTAGCTATTGAAGATGGAATTTAAATTGAAGTCATTCTGACTCCTGTGCTTATGTTATTAATCCTTATAATGAATAGACTCATGCTGTTTCTCTCTTCCTTTCTGTATTACTGATAGAGTAGAAATGGCTTGGGAGAAACCAGGAGAATTTTAGTGGGAGAAGTAGAATGAAATGGTCAGCATGGGCTTCTCCTAGCCTTAAGAGTTTTTGTTTTTAACTTGAGCTTATGTTTGTTGCATTTTATCACCATTAAATGTATAGTCAGCTTTTCAGTTCCAGATCAGGATGCAGGACTAGAGGAAGAGGCCAAGGAGATGACCTGGCCTGATTTTCAGTCTACATGCTAGATGTTTGGCTAGATGTTGGGAGTATTTCAAACCAGAACACTGATCAAAGCTAGTCATTAGTGAGTTTGGCCTAGCTTTATGTGGTATATGAGACTTCTTGGGAGTTGAAGTGGCCAAAATAGGTGAACAACTGAAGATTTGATTACTTGTGATTCTGGTTATCTCAGAAAAGACAAAGAAATAACCAACATATACTTAAGAAAGCAAAGAAGCCCCAAGAACTTGTGATTTGACCAAGGTTACAAAGTAATGTTTTTTTGTTTGTTTGTTTTGTTTTTAAATTAGCTAGTTAAATAAGCTTATGAATGATTAGCTTAAACTGTATATTCTTCAAGTTCGTATTATAAGAAGGTTTAGGAATGAATACTGGATCTGGTAGCTTACTACCTCAAGTAGGGTCAGATGCTCTTCTTTTAATGTTATATAATGTTTATTAATGATTGGTATAAAATGCTCTTTTTTCCTTGGCAAATGTGACATAGAATTTTAGTTGTAATTCAGAGTTGGGAGATTTTGAGAGCCCATTTACCACAAAAGGAGAATTTCACAAAGTTAATATATCCATGTAACCAATATCTTAGAAGCCCCCGTGTGCTGTTTTTTCATCCCAGCACTACCCAGCTGCCTTCCCCTCACTGCCCCCACTGCCAAACACTATCTTGACTTTTTTCTGCATGGTTTAATTTTGTTTTGAATTTTATATAAATGGAATCATATAGCATGTACTCCTTTTTGTCTGGTTCCTTTGGCTTTACATTATGTTTGCAAGATTCCTCTGTGTTGTTGTATGTAGTTGTAGTTTATTCTTTTTGCTGTCTTACTTTATTCTATGAATATTTCACAGTTTATCCTTTTGTTGTTGATGGACATTTGCATTATTTTTTTTTTTACCTATTGATCTTCATTCTATTCTCTATAGTAGTTCAGTGTTTTATTGCTAGTAGTTTTATTTATAGTAGTTCTTCTGTTTTATTGCTAACTTCAAAATAATAATACCTCTCAGGATTTTGGTAAAGATTAAGTAATGATTTGGAAAACACTTGGCACAGAGAAGGCATTTGACAAACATTTGTTTCTTTCCCTTTACGTAAGACAACCTTTCAGACATTTAAAGCCTACTTGGATGGTTCACCTACAGTCTTACATTCTTGGTCTTCAACTGTTTTTCACTTGGCCTAACTTCCAAACATTCTTATTATTCTGATTATTTTTTCCTAGGTTTATTTCAGTGTATCAGTGTGTCTCTTACACTTGAACACTAGAATCCAAACGTTGAGCCAGTGTATTTTTACGTGGTTCTCTCTTTTTAAAATCCCCATGCTGTTCTTCTACCAACATTGCCCAAGATTGTATACACTTTTTAGCAGCCATGTTAATCACTGTCTCTTTTATATAGATTATAGTTAACAAAAATCTGAATTCCTTTTTTTTTGCTTTTTTTTCCTTTTTCTCCTGTCTACCTCCCTCTTCCCCCCCTCCCCTCTGGTAACCACTAGTCCATTGTCCATGGCCATAAATTCATTTTGTATAGGCATTGGTCTTTTGTCAGGCTTTTCCCATCTTGTTCTTATATAAGTGTTTAAACCCAAGTGTAAGAATTCCTTATGTTTATGAATCTTTATGTTTGATATATGCTCTAGCTTTTTCATGTGCAAATTAGATACTGAGCTTTCTAGATCCTTATCTAAACCACTGATAGTGTGTTAACCACTATGAAGTATAGAGAACCCTGTACTTCATTAGCAAAGACTTTTTTGGCTCCAGGTTTTAGTTAATCCATTGATCAACACTCTTGGCGGTGGTTGCTCTGTTTGACAGTATTTTGTTTCTAGTCTGTTCTTAACATTTGTGTTTGTTAAACAAATATTTATTGTTAATAATAGTTACCATTTATTGAGTGCCAGGTACTATTCTAAGATCTACACATTTATTATTTTGTTTAAGCCTCCTGGCAACACTGTAAGAAGGTATTGTTGCCACTTCTCTTTTACACATGAGGAAATGGGCTTACAGAGCTTGATACTTCCCAAAGAACATAGCTAGTTGGAGGTAGAGCTGGGATTTTAATTAAGGTCTGTCTGCTACTTCAAGCCAATATCCTTAACCAACGCTATATATTGCATACCATGCTTTGGGAATAGTGTAGTGAATAAGTAAACAAAATAGATAATGTCTTTGTCTTCTCAGCTTATTATGTAAGGGAGAGAGAAAAACAAGCTATTATTATATATTATGCTTTGAAGGGGAAAGTACTACAAAGTGCTGTGAAAGCACAGAAGCAAATCTAGCTAAATTTAGGGGGTAGGGTGTTAAGGAAAGATTTCTGGGAGTGTTGGATTAGCTAAATTAGCTAATTGAAGCCAGCAGGATGGTGGTAGAAAGTATGTTATCTATCATAGGCTTTAATTCTCTCATAACAATATTGATTTTCCATTTGGTCATTCACTGTGATAAATATGGATGATATTTATAACTATTCTTTATTGAGTATTGGCTATATGCTAAGCCTTTTACACATATCATGTTTTCACACTAGCCCTGCTAAGTTTGTTAGCTATATTTGTACAAAGTGCGACTAAGAGAGGTAAGTAATTTGCCTAAAATCTTAGAGTAATGAAGTGAGCCAGGACTTAAAAAAACAAGTTTTTTTTTTTTTTCAGATTTAAAAAGCTTTTGAAAGCTGCTTTCTACTAGGTCATACACCATCCATTCTAAGTGAAATATGGTTCTAGCTTTTTTATTGCTATTATGCCATCTGTCCTTAGTAATGGGTATATCCCTACTATATTCTTAATTCAAATATATATTTTTAAAGAAGATAAAGTTTTTACTATTCTTAGCAGAATATTTTTATCTTTCGATTATCTTCAGCCAATTTTTTCCCTATCCTTTTTAGTACTATACTTTCAAGTAGGTGCTTGCTTTGGTGGTTTCCTTGTTTTCAGGTGTTTTAAGCCTATTAGAAAGTTCCCTATGTAGGCGCACCATAGCATTGAAACAGATATGAATCTCAAAGCCTTAATCCTTTAGTTGTCTTGCTTTATAGGAATTAAGAACAGTTTTGAGCTTTGAGAAGATATCAGTCACTAATAGGCAGTTTCTTGTGGCTTAGTCTGTGCTAATAAAGCCATTATGAACACTGATTAGTCAAAGAAATAGTAGTTATTTCATAGAGGGATTAAATTTTTTTAAATGGTTTTTAAAATAGTTATTTTATTGATAACTAGAGTAGTTAAGTTTAAATGTTACAAAATAATAATAAAGCACTGTCTGAATAATTTCCCCCAAATATTCATTTGAGTCAGTGATTGTCTATTTTTTTCTTTCCTCATTTTTTAAAATAGATATTGATAATTCTGGTGGAATTTGAAAAAAGAGGCATTAAAGATTAAGGAAAAGGAGTTTTAGTATTAGTTGATTGGAACAAAGATCTTGCTACCTCTAGGAGACAATCCTATTTTATCTTTTAAGAGTGGCAGAATCTTGTGCTTTATTGGAGCCACTGGCCGCTAGGTGGTGCTTTTTGCATTCGTCATAGCATAAAATTACTTGTTTTAATCTGGTGACCGTTGAATATATTGGCAGTAATATTTAGCAAATTAAAATTTTTTACTGAAAAGTGTGTCGGAAATCAGGACTATTATGTATCTTCTTGCTGAGGTAGACAAATAACTGTTTAAAGAAGGAGTTTAATTACTGAATTTGTTGTTACCCACTGAGTTTTAGTATAGTCTACTTCCTTCCCTGTCATCCTTAAGCTATGATGTCATGTAGTTGATTGCAGCTGCTCACAGTTAGGTGTCAGATTATTTGAAGTCCTTCCTATTTAGAATCTCTGGGCTTGTACTTCTCAGTTCTAAGCATTGCATCTTTCATTAGGTGCTTACTTCAGTGCTTTATCTGAAATTGTCTTCTAGATTCTCTAAGGTCCCAAGAAAAATGACTTCATTTACAAAATTCCTTCTCCCCATTCCATTTCCCCACCCTTGGCCCCAGGTCATAATAGAAGAAATTAAAATATTTGTTTGAAGTGTCTTCCTTAGGGTTTTTTTCCATTCCTCTGGTATTTCCCTTACCTTTAGTATTCTGTGTGTCCAGCCAACTCACCTTAACCTCTATCCTGTATTTAATAAGGAATCTGCATCTGCATTTTGCAGTTTCTTCACTTTTGTTCTGGTGGTTTTTTAGCATAATCTCAGTTTGGTTCCCTTTTTTAAGGAAAGCTGAACTTATTTTCAGTAATTTTAAATCTGGCTAAGAATCATAGGTTTATTCCCTAAGTTCCTTAGTAAATCTTAGTCCTTGTTTATATCTTAAATCAAGGAATAATGTCCATCTCTTTGGAAAAGTTATTTTCTCTGACAGGCTGCAGCTTCAGGAGGGCAGTTCACTGAGCCATTTGAGGGAGGTCGAGGCATTCACTTTGATAGTTATGATTAACCTTCATATCTCAGGGGTTAACTTTATCATTTCAGGACATTTAGAAGTCTGATGGGGATTTATATTTTCCATGTGATTAAAATGGCAGTTGTGTATTTTGAATTGGCTTAATTTTGTTATAAGAATGAGTCAGTATTAAAGATTGGCATTTACTTTTTCAAATTAGGTAATAAAATAGACTTGGAAAAGGAGAGACATGTTTCCATTCAAGAAGCAGAATCGTAAGTGTTATCCCTGCCACCCTCCTTTTCCTCTCCTCCCCCAACAATCACTCCCCAGTAGAAAACTTTCTTTGGCACAGTGTACTTTACTTTACTATTTAAGTATTACTTAAACCTCTTAATTATATATATATAGATAGATTTGGGTTTATTTTTTCTTAATATATATTGAGCTTTTGGATTCAGTGAAGCCTATTTACATTGGTAATTTCTAGACTTTTGGCAACATTTAAAGATGTTCCACTCTCACTTCTCTTTTTGATTTCAATAACAAATATGAGTGGTGCAAAAGAAAACTATCATGGTCCAATAGTCAGTGAGTCACAAAAAATTTTAAACTATTTGGGTTCCAAATTAACTTAAAAATTTTTGTCTCATTATACTTGTGTTCATATTTAAAATTTGGTTAAATGTATAGAGATGTTAAATGGCTATATGATCTTAATTTTACTAAATCTGGGTTAATTAGTAATAAGTCACTACAATTGCTACTGTGAAAAAAATAGCAGTCATGACAAAAACATGAAAAAAATTTTTAGATCAGTCACTGATGTTATTTTTTTTTTAAGGTATGCAGAATCTGTGGGAGCAAAACATTATCACACATCAGCCAAACAGAACAAAGGAATTGAGGAACTCTTTCTTGATCTTTGTAAAAGTAGGTATATTCAGATTTACTGTGTTTAGAAATGGCTCTTTTAAAAATATTGGTAATATTTCTAAAATGATATTTTAGTCTCCATTAATGATCACATTGATAATTGGTCACATCTACCAGTATTATAATTTACTTGATATTTTTTCTTTAACTCATTTCTTAAAGCTTAAATATCTACTTTAGCCCTATTTCAAGCAGTAATTAATGGCTATGAAATCTGTGTGTGGTATGTGCGAAATACATATTAAATAAAGTACATAACTATTAAAAGTAAAAACGGAGGGGGGATATACAGATTAAAACAGATTTGAGAGCTGTAACAACATTTTGCAGCAGATGGACCTTATTTGGATTCTGATTTGACAAAATAGTGAAAAAGAACATTTGTGAAACAATTGAGACTATGAACACTCACTGGATATTTGATGATAATTAAGAAATTATTGAAGGGATGGGGGAGGGAGAAATGGGTAAAAGGGGTCCAATATATGCTAATAGATGGAAAGTCGACTTTTGGTGGTGAGCACACAATAAAGTATACAGATATTAAGTTATAATGTTCTATACCTGAAATTTATATAATGTTAACTTATGTTACCTCAATACAAAATAAACTTTTTTTAAAAAAGAAGTTATCGTAAAAATTTTAGGTGCGATTATGGAGTTGTGGTTATGTTTTAAAAATGAGTTCTTATTTTTTAAAAAAGTTCTTCATGTTAAAATAATTTATGAATAAACTTGTATCTGGAATTTGATTCAAAGTAAGGTAGGGATGCTTGTCGGGTATGGATGAAATCGTGTGATGGACATAAGGATTATCATTATGCTATGCTTTCTACTTTTATATATATGCTTGAAATTTTTTATATCAAAAAGTTTTTAAAAGAGAGAAGGGAAAATGTTTGTGTATATACAACCCAAAAGTCATTTCTCATATTACCAGTGAAGTGCATACCATATTTTGGAAAACCCTAGTCTGTGGAATAGTGGATTGAAATGATTTTGTTAAATTATAGAATTTATGGACCTCATACTCTTTTGAGAATTTGATGAAACTATGTTTGTATCCACAAACTTTGGAGTAAATTTCATTTCTATGAAAACCCAAAAGTCATTCGTAATGCTTCTAGAGTAGTAATTTTCTAAGTGAGGACCCCTGATCAGCAGCATCAGCATCACTTGAGACCATGTTAGAAATGCAAGTTTTGAGGCCCTACCCCAAACTTCCTGAATCAGATTCTCATGAGGTGGTATCCAGAATCTATGTTTTAACAGTCCCTCTGTATGATTCAGGTGTACACTAAAGTTTGAGAATCACTGCTGTATATACCAGTCACTTGGGGATTTTGTTTAAATGTATATTTTGATATAGTGGGTCTAATGTGGGCCTGAGCTTTTCATTTCTAACAGGCTCCCAAGTGGTGATGATGCTGTCCTCAGGCCATACTTTGAGTACCAAGGTTCTAGATAATTCACTTTTAAATGTTATCAGTCTCACATGTTTAATAAAAAATTTCTGAGTATTTCCCATATGTTTATTTAAAAATAAAGAACATATACAAGTACTAATATGCTTTGTACACTATAAAAAGACACATAAAAAATAGAAATTTTTAAAGGTTGAAGAAGACAAAGTAGAAGTTAGAATTTGTAATGTTTTCTAACTTCATCTCAGTGGATTGTCCCACACACCTCAATTTGGAAACCATTGTTCAAGAGCCGTCTCTGGACCCAAGTTTAAGAACCTATGTTCCGTTTTAAGGACTCCCTCTTTTCTTTCCTTATCTTTTCGGATAAATATTTTGCAAATGTTTACTCTTAGTCTATGTCTTATATTTTCATCTTAAACAGAAGTTCTAAAAATTAGTGCAGATTGGTTTATTAGTTTTTCTTTATTGTTCATGTTTGTTGTTTTATATGAGAAATCTTTGCCTAACTCAAAGTCACAAAACTTTTCTCCTAGGGAGATTTCCTTCTATGTTTTCTTATAGAAATTTTATTTTTTACATTTAGATCTGTGATTCATTTTTGTTAATTTTTGCATATGGTGAGAGGTACAGATCAAAGTTTATTTTTTATCCATAAATGTACAATTCCAGTTGTTTCTTGAAAAGATTATTCTTTCTTCATTGAATAATCTTGGCACATATGTCAAAAGTCAAGTGACCAAAAAAAGGGGGTCTATATCTGGACTGTATTCCATTGAACTCTATATTTTTCCTTTTACCAATATCTGTCTTTGTTAGAGTAACTTTCTCCTATATCTTTAAATCAGACAGTGTGAGTCCTCCAGCTTTGTTTTTCCTTATCTTTAACTCTTTTATTCTTTCAATTATACTTTATTAGTTGAAGAATAAGTGTTGTACCCTAAATACCACTTGCATTTGGAACAGTTTGGACTTTGACATATTTCTGAGTATATTTGGAAAATCTTAAGGATTACACGTATATAGTCATTTGATCAGGGCAAAAACTTTTTTTTTCTCTATTGATGTCACTGTGGCCATTATACATCTGGACAAATATACTTGCTATTAATTTTTTTAAACTTGTAGTAAAAGCTATTTAGTGAGCTGAAAAATGTTTATTATTTAGTTTCCTTGTTGGTTTAAAGTCAGAAATGGTTATCATGGTGGTACACTGAAATATTAGGAAGGGAGAACTCAAAGTTTATGGTCCTAAATAATTTCTGCTTTCTCTCTCTCTTAGGGATGATAGAAACAGCACAAGTGGATGAGAGGGCAAAAGGCAATGGCTCCAGCCAACCAGGAGCTGCAAGGCGAGGTGTACAGATAATCGATGATGAACCTCAAGGCCAGAGCGGTGGTGGAGGGTGCTGTTCTTCTGGATAACTGTTCACACCTAAGAAATTCAAACAAACTGTGGATCATTGCCCTCAACATGAAGACTGCCATATTCCGAGTCACGTTATTTTACCAATGGAATTATAGAATTAACAGTATTTTAAATTACGTTTATAACACTGCAGAGACCTTAAGTGCTATACTTAGTGAAGTTTGTGACCAGAGAATTGGCATTTTCTACAAATGTTAACAAAGCAATTACCAATGGCCTTTTTACATATTTTTTCTTTACTAAGGAATAATATGCATGTAGAAAAGACCCACTTAAAGGCTTCATTTATATTCTTTTAAGTCAAATCTTTATTTAATAACTTATATATGTTGTTGGAATGGTATACATTTTGCAGCCCTTTGTATTTTGTGGTAGTTTGAATTGTATCACTTCTAAACAGCAAACTATTTTTGTTTTCTTTCTTTTTGTTTTTTTAATTAGCAGATACCTGAAGTACTATTTTTGCAGGGTTTGCACAGGCCCCTGTCTACTACTTTGATATAATCTATATACATCCTGTATGCTGAGCTAGTAAAATACATTGTAAATTACATATTAAATATTTTATCTGCTTTTACAAGCGCAAGGTGCAAAAATATATACAATAGTCTCATTGATGACTGTAAAGTGATTAACATTTGGTGATAATGCCTAAGCTTTTTGACTCTGATATAAAGATCATAGCTCCCCTTCACTTTTGTCTTAACTTGAAAGTGGCGTGTTTAAATTTTCACATAACTTTACTTGAATTCTTGCTATTGTCACATGTTTTGGCCTCTGTAAGTCTATCCGATGATTGAACAGCAGCATTTGCCTTTTGGTTTTTTTGTTTTTTGTTTTTTTTTTATAAAAGAGATAACTTTAGCCAATTTTGCTTTAGAATGGTTACCTTAGAAGTATTTGAGTGAAGCATGCTGAGTTTCACTTCTGCCACAGCTTTAGTTTTCTTTTAGACTTTATTTGAGATGGGTTCACTGGTTTGAGAAGAGAGGAAGAGGTCCCAGATAGTAGCCACTCACCAAGACTCATACAGCATGTTAGTGGTAGTTTATGCTCCTGAGGCAGCACTTTTAAATCCTTTGTGAGCAAGATTTTTTCAGTTTTGTTCAATGCTTGCCAGAAATGAACACAGAAAGTTTAGTTTCATTTTATAAGAGCTATTCTGAGTTTCTGTGAAGGGAAACATTTCATGTAATGAAGTTATGGCGAACACTGGAAAGATTTATTATAAAATTATATTCTTGTATACTTTGTAAATTAGTCTCTCATTAGGTTTTTTTTTCCCCTAAAGCATAGGACTGATCTTACGTTTGTTAATTTTAATAGAATCAGGCACTTCTTACAGAAGGAACACAAATTGTAGAAATTAACAAATTGTTCTTGTTCTGATATATATATATTTTTTTCCATTTCTGTCATGCTTGGAAAACTAGTAAATGTTATGTCTAAGATAAAATGGAATTGTCCCTGGATTTACTTCTTATAGGGAGCAGTAGTATGTAATAAAAGTTGTTAGCATGAGCAATTAAAGGATATAAAGAAGCTATACTTACTAAAGAAGTACTACCATATTTTTAAGTTAATAGCTTAAACCTTCCTAAATGGGTTAAAAGTTGAATGAATTGACACCTTGATGTTATGATGTTAGGATTTTAACTTAGTATTAATTTAAGGGTTCTGTGAGTCCTCACTTTACTTTTTAAAATTATTGTCCTTGTCAAATTCAACACACTGATCTCTGTTGTGTGTTTCAGAAGGTGGAGAATGGGAAGAGTCAGGGAGATAAGCTAAAATTGTCTTCTTTTATGTGACAACTGTACTCTATGTAGTCTCACAATTTCCTGTGAAGTTAGTGTTTATGCAGGGGGTTGGGGGAAGTACATATCATGAGTGCAGATACAGGAAAATTATTTTTGTCCTGGTTCTTTCAGAGGTAGAAAAGCCCTGCCATTTCTACTCTTGTAGATGGGAAATATGCTCTTTTCAATTGGAGTGAAATATGTTTTTTAAAAAACATATTTCTCTTACCAAGATATATTGGAGTTCTTCTGTTGGCATAACAGACTTTCATTTTGTTTTCTCCCACGTCACTATGGGTGTGTTTTGCCTTTTTGATGATATCGAGCATTATTTCAAACAATGAAATCATAAAGCCTGATAATTAGAGAGGTGTACTCTCAATTTTTGACCCTATAAAGTCTGGATAGGAACCTCTGCTCTGCAATTGCCAGGTAATTATTGGTAGGGTACAACCACTCTCCATATTTTTTTTTCCCTCTACTCTCCCTTGGATTTTGTGTAATCTTTCTTAACCTCAAGCATTTCATTCTTTCTTAAACCTGTAATTTGAGCTTCAGTAGCAACAATAGGTAATATAGTAAACCCGTCCTTGCTCTGAAGCCCAAAAGGTCTTTAGGTAGGAATAGGGTGAAAGGGTAATGAAAGAGGACTAATAAATTAGTATGTATATAAAGGAAAGATAAAGAGATGATAAACCAAGGTTGAGGAAAATTTTCTGATACTTTCTTCACCTCTAATATATCTTTTGTGTGCCTGTCCTTAAAATTGTGCTATTAGGAAGAAGACACAAGTTACCATGTTGTGTATTTAAAAGTAGTAGATAGGTAGAATCTCTATATATTTTTCAAGTAGTAAGTGTATATATAATTAGAAATTAGTTTAAGATAGTCATTAAAAATATCTGACTATTATGTTAAAAGTATACAGTCATTTCTGTAATGATGATAGATATTCTGCTTGTTTTGTGATTATAGAGAAAGATTATTGTTTTAAAAATGTATATCGTGATAATTTTGGGATAAATAGTAATCTGGAAAGAGAAAAGCATCACATTCTTGGATAAAATATGAGCGTTTATATTTGCTTTGTTCTAGGGATACCTCCTGAAACTACCCTAGATCTATGGCTATTAACAGTTAAATTGTGAATTTTTTTTTTTTTATATTAGCCACATATTATGAATGATTACATTTTATTTGGCATTAAAGTAAGAAAGAAGAATGATACTTCATTTTTAGATTTTCAGTAAAAAAAAGGACAAAATTTGGGAACTAGGGAAGAAAATGGTGAGGAGTCGAATGGGAGACAGGTGGATGTGAAACAATAACCTGACAATTTTAAAAATCATTTCAAAAAATATTACTTTTATCACATAGTTTCTAAATAAGAAAAGCTATGTATTGTGCCAAATATTTAGAACATTTTAAAGAATGAATTAGATGCTATTTATTTCTTTTAATACATAATTTACAATTTTCTATCCTACCAAGAGTATAGATCATTGATCTTATATTATCTACAGATAATATAATTTACCCTTATAATTACCACTTATCTCTAGAAGTGGTTTGATCTGTGCCTTTAACTTTTGAAATGTATCTTTTGGCTTCTATTTGCTGTTGTAGTTCTTATAGTATTTTTTATAGATACAGTGCAACGAAGAGAGAATGCTTAATTTGAGACCGTTTAAGATGTTGAGATCATCTAAAAAAGGGTCTAAGTAGTAGTGACCAGCACCCTACCTCTACTGAGTAGATCCTTAAGTATTCTTTACTAAATTACAAAATTCGTTATCTAGATTTTCATAACTAAAAGCTGGACTTCATGGAATATAACATTTACTTGATTTTGTAATAGGCATTGGTTCTAGTATGTTGCTATTCTGTAATTTTTAATCAACTAAAACAGTAATGTATTTGGTGTTGTGGGCCAAAATTCATGCTGCACATATGTCTGACTTGTGGCTTTTCTCTTTTCAAGAAAACAGATTAATTATAATTCTGAACAAATTTTCCTAAATGTAAATATTTTAGTATTAATCACATATAGAGATACTCTTAAGAGTTTCCAATTTCAAACAAAAATGCTTCACTTCTAAAGAAATACCACTTTAATATATATTTCATACACCTTTAGCACTACTTGTGCTATCTGGGATTTATATATCATTTCTGAGAAGCTGAGTGTGCTTCTGAGTATTAACCTTAATACTGCAACATTTTCTCTGCAGTAGATACATGAACATGGCAAGTAAATGTCACATGGTACACCCAGCAGGAAAACATCTTGTCCTTTTTAGAAGCCTGCACATATTTCCAAATGCATCACATTAAAGCCATAAGATGGGCCTATCTGCTTAAATGACCCTTGTTCCCACTGTATCAGTTCTTATCTTGATTTTGACACTTACTGGCAACTGTATCATCTCTTCATAATCAAGTACTCAAGAAAAAGCTGGTGTGATTTCCTTAGATATGAATTTGTGTAGAGCAAATGCAAGAAAGGTAAGGGATAGCAGGAACAAAGTATGATAATGTTTAAAATAGACAACAGCAGTGTTTGCTAAACTGTATGTTCTGTAGCAAGCTATTTTAAGGAAACAATCATATGTAGTATTTCCCAAAGTTCTTCATTTTGTATTTAATTATCTAAGTAACAATATATTCTAAGAAAAAGAATAAAAAGTACAGATATTGTGAAAGGGCCCCTGGGGCACCCCCCCTCCCACATGGTAACTATTGCTCTCTAGTGTATACTCTTCAATTACTTTTCCCCTATGCATTTATACACATATATATTTACCTATAGAAGTACATAGTTTTGTGGGTTTAAAATTTCTACATAAATTGTTCTTACTATGCATATGTTTTCCAACTTGCTTTTTTCTCTTACCAAGATATATTGGAGTTATTCTGTTGGCATAACAGACTTTCATTTTGTTTTCTCCCACATCACTTTGGGTGTGTTTTGCCTTTTTGAGTAACCTCTGATTCTCCATGAGGCCTTCTCAGAAGATATCTGGTCAATTAAATAGACTTCATTAGAATCACAAAATGTTAATGCAAACCAGTGTTTACCTTAGAATCAGAGTCTCCCTTAAGCATGTGAATCAGGAAATTAGAATGGCATCTGCTTACAATTCATTTGAAGTATATTACTTTTGGACTATGTTGGCTGATTAATATATAAAATTCAAGAGTTAACTTTAGCAGATTCTTCAGAATAGGTTTTTATTTGAGAGAAGAAGGAAAAAGTACAGGGTAACCTAAAACAAGCCTTTGTATAACTCCAGGTAATTAATGTAACACAAGACTTCATGCTAGCAAAAATTTAAACTTCTGTTTCATCTGTGCCTTTAATATAGAGTAAAAAATAAAAATTTCTTTTCAGATCACTTTTTCCTCACCATCCCACATACCTCTTTAGAGGTATCTATAATTAACAATTTGGTGTGTATCTATATTATATATAAATGTTTTTATTTATATTTGACCTATGTTTTCAGTTCCCTGAAAACAAATTCTACCCCATGCCACATTCCATCCTCAATCAACTGACCAACTTACCCAGAAAAACTGGATTCCTATTTTAAAGAAAGTTAAATCAGTGTTGACAGTTCTTGAACTGGAAGTTAATTACCTGACTCTTAAGATGTTTTATTTTTATCATAAATTAAGCTTAAAGAGTAACTATAGCAGTCTAAGGAAGTTGAATCAAATTATTGGTTTCTAGCCCCTTTGGAAATAGGGATAGGCCTGGGAAAAGGGATAGAGAAAAGAGAAGTGTGCAAGTCCCATTCCTTAATACTCATGTGATTTGGGGTTGGGCTCTTTCTCGGCATGTTTTCCTACTTGGGGAGCATTACACTGTCCCCAATGATTACTTTAAATACTCTGCATTGTCAAGGCTATAGCTTAGCATGTTAATGCCGTGACATAAATGTGTGTCCCCAAAACATCAAATTTATTCACATTTGACAACATAATTCAGAGAGCAATTGATGTACAGCTTACCATGATTTTGTTAATAATTATTTCCAGGTGATATTTTAAAAAGTTTTAAACACATTTTGCTTTTCCTGACTGTTCTATCAATTTATTGAATACCTGCTGTGTGTCTAGTGCCCTTTATAGTCAACAGCTTAAAACTGGGGAACTAATGATTATTGTCCATAGTCCAGGATGTAAGTTTATCTGTGGAAATGAGGTCAGCTAACCACACATGTTCACGTTCTGCATTTGCTCAGATATGTGCCAGTCAAACTTTTGGGGTGAGGTAATTAAAATGACAGTAATTGAAGTTGATAGTGAATTTGAAGTAAAGCTGGACACAATGATTTTATCTCGGAAATAATTTTCAAGACATTAAAATAGAATAACTTGTTTTCTATCTTCAAGGAGCAATTAAATGATCCTCAAGCCCAAATTGCTTTTCCAAATTTTGTGGCAGCAGTGAAGAAACAGATGCCTTTTGCTTATTTAGACAGCTGCTCTTTTTTTTAAACCTAGAAAAAAATGCCTTTTAAAAAGCAATTGTCTTGTTTTCTTTGCCTTTGACAGATGTTGCCTTGTCTCCAGACAATAACCCAGGACAAAATCTATACTGAGTCATAGGCCTGTTTGGAGACTATAACATAGTATAATTTATGAATTTCTAAATACATTTCCCAATTTGGGAGTAGGTCCTCATTTCTAACTGAAAAAGTAGTCAAATGCCAAAAAGCCTAACAAATATCTGAATTTTATGCTTATCTTTCCAGTACCTTTTAAGGATATATATTTTTAATTATAGTATATTATTACAGATAACAAATTATCTAGATCCCTTTTTGGCCCTTTGGGGAGATTAAATACAGTGAGAAATTGTTTTTTTAAAAAATTATTTCATGAAGCAGTTATCAAGAAGTAGCTTCTGTTTAATCTGCATTAATTCCTCTGCACTGATTCACAAAAAGTGAATAATTTAATGATGTAGTGACAGGCAGTTCTTTAAAATGTAAAAGCCCTGTAAAGAAACTATACAGCAAGAGCAAGATACTTAAAAAATTTTGGGCTGCCTTCGGGTGACAAAATTAATCCTTTCCAAAAACTATACAAGTCCCCGCCCCCTCTGTTGAATCCTATGTTGATTTTTTTAAAGCTGAAAATGTTCTTTAACTGAAGTAGCATGTGTAGTTCCTTTTCACAGATTTTAGGCCAACAGTAGTGGCACAAGAAATTCATCTATGAAGGACGTAATTTTGGTTGAATTTTAATGAAGATGGTCAGATATGACATTTAATTTATTGAGTACGTATTTTTAGTGTCTTCCTTGAGGTTGACATTTGATAGCCCTCATCAATGTTTGGTTCACTGCTTTGCCAGAACTATAGCAGTGCTACTACCCCTTATAATCGAAAATTGTAAAAATTGTTACCTGGTTGTAGAATTATTTGCAAATCATCACCATGTGCCATACAAGCAATTTTCATAAAAGCAAACTCTGGAATGTTTGAAGAGATGTAATTATTGAAAATGGGGTTGGGGGGGTTCAATTGTTTAAATGCAGAACTAAAAGCTAAAGCTTAGTAGAGTGGTGTTTGTTGAGAGCTTCATTCAATCTGGTAAGTAATTTTTATTTGTCCTTTCTTTATTGATAGGGAATCCTGGGATATAGGTGGGTATAATTAGTGAAATAAAAATCGATACGTGTCTATGGCCATGCCACCCTGAACATGCCCGATCTCATCTGATCTCAGAAGCTAAGCAGGGTCAGGCCTGGTTAGTACTTGGATAGGAGACCACCTAGGAATACTAGGTGCTGTAGGCATTAAAAAAATTCCATTTGCGATTCAGAATATTAAAAGCCAAATATAGGTGGGTATAATTAGTGAAATAAAAATTGATACGTGTCTATGGCCATGCCACTCTGAACATGCCCGATCTCATCTGATCTCAGAAGCTAAGCAGGGTCAGGCCTGGTTAGTACTTGGATAGGAGACCACCTAGGAATACTAGGTGCTGTAGGCATTAAAAAAATTCCATTTGTGATTCAGAATATTAAAAGCCAAGAACCCAAAAAAAGCCATTTAAAAATATATTGTCCCCCACAGCAGCAAAATATACATTCTTCTCAAGTACACATGGAACATTTTCAAGGATAGACCATATTATTAGGACACAAATCAAGTCCCAATAAATTTAAGAAGATTGAAATCATATCAACTGTTCTCTCATCACAATGGTATGAAACTAGAACTACAAGAAAAAAACTGGAAAATACGCAAACACATGGAGGCTAAATAACATGCTACTAAACAATGAATGGGTTATTAATGAGATCAAGGAAGAATTCAAAAGATACCTAGAGACAAATGAAAATGAAAACACAACGACTCAAAATTTATGGGACACAGTGAAAGCAGTCCTAAGAAGGAAATTCATAGCAATATAGGCCTACCTCAAGAAACAAGAAAAAGCTCAATCTAACCTTACAATTAAAAGAACTAGGAAAATAACAGCAAACAAAGCCCAAAGTGAATAGAAGACAGGAAATAATAAAGATCAGAGCGGAAATAAATAGAGTCTAGAAAAACAATACAAAAGATTAATGAAACCAAGAGCTGGTTCTTTGAAAGGATAAACAAAATTGACAGACCCTTAACCAGACTCATCAAAGAGGAAAGAGAGAGGACTCAAATAAATAAAATCAGAAACGAAAGAGGAGAAATAACCACAGACTCCACAGAAATACAATGGATCATAAGAAAATACTATGAGCAATTATATACCAACAAAATGCACAATCTGGAAGAAATGGACACATTCCTAGAAACATACACTCTCCCAAGACTGAGTCAAGAAGAAACAGAAAAT